ATTTTGACAAAGCCCATTTCTTCATGAGGGTTGCTAAGTAGCAATGCAGTGCATGTTGAATGTGACTTAAAAACTGGAAGGTTTTTGAAAGGGCTCATTTTTCAAACATCAGAAAACCTTTAGCTTACTCCTGATAAATGGCTGAGTGGTTTTATTTAAATGCTTGGCTTTTTAGAAGCAGTAGAAACCTAAATAAAAGCATAAAATCATCACCTTTCATCAAAACTGACAACTCAGAACTCCTCACATCAGATAATTAGAATACAAGAAGATAAATGTGTTTGGAAAAGTCATCAATACGGAGGAAGCAGTCATTTTCGGTTTGTTGTTTCTCAGAACACTTGGGCTTCAAAGCGCCGGTGATTAGAAGTGCCGACCTCCTGCTGTGACGCTTCAGCAGGAGTCTGAAGGTGAAGATGAAGTGATACCCACTTTGGATTCTGACCCACACCTCGGAGAAACACTTGGACCTCTACTGTCAGGCAAACATGTCGTTTTCTCCGTCTAAACCCTCCGCTGGATGTGTCATCCTGTGAAAGTCTTGTCTTTTCTCATCTATCTGTCCTTTCATCTCCATCAGATTTTTTCCAACTCATCAAAAACACTTAAGCAGGAACTTTTTGTACTTTTCAGGGACTTGCAGTGAGTATTTACCAGTAAATGAGGCTTTACTGAAAAGATGCAGTCAGATTTGAGGGTTTTCTGAATGTACACTGAATCAATCATGAGGCGATTCTCCGCTGCTTGTTTTCTTTCATCAAATGTTCAAACCCGTAATGTTGCATCCTTGGAAAATCAACATCTTTGCACGGTTCCCTCTCCTCCTCAGGGCTCATTCATCTCTAAAAGGTTCATTTATTTCCACTTCTGTGCTTGTTGTATCAAACGAAACGAGTCAGAGTGATGCTTGCAGAGTTGCTGTGTTTCTAATCTAAAAACCTGCAAGTAAACATTTAATAACGTCACATTGACAAAGCAGGAAATCATTTATTCAGACAACTTGAACTTCCTCCAGCATGATCAGAGGGATTTATTGATCTTAAGTTGTAACGGCATCTCATTATGATGAAAAAACATTTTATAAACAGTAGGATACAGCAAATTAATTCTGGTTGATACTAAACTCGTTCAAAAGAGTTTTTTTCTGGTTTGAGGCATCAATAAACGAGCAAGCAACTATCCATTTGGTTTATTTGTTCACTTTTTTCATTGTAAAACTTTATTTATTCATGATAACAGTATGCATTAAGGCCGCTCTGTACTACTAGTTTGATTAATTAATCAAAAGTCAAATCAAATTTTAGAATATCACTGTCTTGTTGGATTAATTAAAGTTTTGGCCCCAGCTATCTGCTGGACGCCTGATCAGTGGTCTGAGTGAAAATAGATATTACATGTGCAGAAAATTTACTTTTATCACTAGAAATGTAAGAACATTATTGTGAAATTCTGGTCATATTTAAAAGATTTCCGGGAACTGTGGATCTGTTTTAGTTGACCGTATGTGTTAAGTTTGGTTAAGTTTCTGGTGACATCAAAATGCAGACTGGAGTTAAAGGTCATCATAAATCATTTAGGAGATAAAACTACAATTAAAACATAAAACCACAAATGAGGGAACTGAGAACCACACAAGTTAAACTTACTGAGTGACTCTGGAAATAACAAAAGGGACCAGAAGAGCTAATCACAGGTGAGTAGATGCAGCTGGGAGGAAAGAAGAGAACCAAAGAGAATGAAAAGGAAAATTTCAAATATTTTAAAAGTCAAAAATAGATTAATTGATCTGAATATTGCTGCTTGTGTTGTGATGAACTGCTTGTCCTTCAGAATAAAAGTCTGGTTTAAAACATTGTTGTGGTTTGCAGTGCTGAAGTTTCTCCTAATTTAAATCACAGCAGCTGCTGCTCTGCTGAAGGCGCCTTCAGTACCTCATACTGACTAAACGTCTTCCCAAAGTTTGACCAAATTAAACAAAATCTATTCTCTTTGTGAGACTGTTACGTCCGCCAGGACGCCATATTTAAAAGGACACATAGACAAAAGGATTCCAAGAAAAATATTCCTTTATTCATTTTTTTCTTTTCTTTTAGGCTTCCTTGTCCTTTTCTACTTGTTTTTTTTTTCTGTAAAGGAAGGAGAGAACCCCTCTTCCCGTGTCCCAAAACGTAACAAAAAAAAGTAAGAGAAAAAAAGTTCAACAGAAAGGTGGACCTGGTGAGCCGGTCCAAAGAAACAAAAAGGTACAGCAGGGGGCCAACCCTATACAGGGCCGTCGAAGCCCCTGCTAGTACCAGACTAAAGAAAATAGGGGAAAATAATACATTAACACAAAATGACCGAAAACAGGACAACCGGACTCACCAGGCCAAAAACAAACCAAAAAACAACCAAAAAAATCCCCATGGCAGGCAGGAGGCGTCACATGGGTCCAAAGGCCGACAAAGTTGGAGGAGCCTCCTCCGGGCGCATCCCTCTTGGAGGTGGAGGTGGAGGTGGATGAGCGAGCGAGAGAGAGCGGCTGGGCGGGCTCAACCATTACAAACCCAGCCTATTTATAGGCCGATCTCGTGCCCACCAATTAACAAAACCAAACTAATTAAAAAAAGAATCGCTGTACTAAAATATATTAAACACAAAACCACTCAACTTAAACCAATACAAAATTATTTAAGGAAATAAAAATTATAAAGTGCCCAAAGAACATAACAGAGACCAAATATTACTGAGAAATAATTCATTTCCTTCCTCCAGCGAGACTCAAACTGTCTTTGCTGAATTTATTGATCAGGCCAGTGGAGGGACTCAGTAATTTGGTTGAAACATCTATTAATCAGCTGAAAACTGATTAATAAAAACTGTTCCTAATGTGAATCACGTTCCCGATTCTCAGCTCCTCTTGTGATTCATGTTCCTTTTCTTGTCTCTGTTTAATGTTCTCATGATTTTCCAAACCTGTCAAGTCGACACTTTTACTGCTCTGAGTGCAGTTTGGGTTCACATGATTGGTGCTTTTGTGCAATTCTGTGGTCTCATGTTGCTGTGAAAAGCTTTCATTATGACAGAAAACAAATGCAAGTCAGTGTCACACTGTGTCAGACCTCTTGATGAGTCACTTTTTACAGTTTCTCCTTTTGCTTTCAGACTGTTGCCCTGTTGATCCACCTGGACAGTTTATTAAAACCAGCTTCAGGTGAACATCTTATTTAGAAAAGACGTTTCATGCTTTGCAAATTGTTTCAGTGTTTATGTAGCTAAATAGCTACAGCTATAACACTGAATGTTAAGCTAATATTTAGCTAATGTTTAACATTGAGCTAAATCTTTGTTAAACAAACGTTTGTCTAAAATAAACATTTATTAAATCTAAATAGATTTAGATTTGTTTATCTAAATCTTTGATAAACATGTGTTAGCTAATCATCTAGATACAACTATAACACTGAAACGTTAAGCTAAAGATTTAAATACTTAGCTACCAGTTAGCTACCAGTTTAGCTCCAGCTTATTACATCAAAATATTAAGCTAAATGTGCAAATATTAGCTACATATATAGTGAACATCTAGCTAATTATGTTAGCTACAGCTAAAACATTTAACACATAGCATTTTGTAAACAGTCTCATTCAAACAGAGCTCCTTCTTCTACATCTACAATTATGCTTTGCTCTGTGTTTTACTGAAGTTTACTGCATTTTCACTGATACTGTTGCATTAAAACAACTGGATGGATGGCTGGATGTTGCCTAACCGCTGAATGAGACAACAGCTATTATTCTTTTCATACCCTGGGTGTCTTTTAATATTACAGAAAGATCCTGAAAAACATAAGAAACTATTCAAACAATCAGATGATTTTGGACAGCACACAGTGACATGCATCTGTAGGGCGAGGCAGCCACTCGCTGTTCAGTCCTCAGCATTACAAGGCAATGGCTTCACTCTGAAAAACTGCAGCTTCAGCAGCGCTGGTTAATCATTTACATCATTGAGATAAAATGTTTAAAATAGAAAAGGTAGATCAAGAATAAATTTTTTTGTGCCAAATAACCTGTTTGCCTCATCTTACTATGAAAATGCAGCAGAAAAATGATTCATTAAACAGACAAAACCTTTATGGATAAAACAGAAATTAACTTTGTCTAGCCTGGATAATTCTTGATCATAAACCTAATTCTGCAGCTCTTTTTATATTGAAAAGACAATCCTACAAGATATGTTTAAAGAAATAAATGGAAAATATAGAAAATTGCTGCTTTGTCTAATGCATGCCTATCTTTTTCTACGTGTGCATATAATTTCCCATATTGTGATATTTCTCCATTGGAGGAATTTGCTGCAAAAATGTCAGATATAATATTTATATGTCTTCTGTAGGTAAATTATTTTTTACCATGCTTTCCCACATATAGCTGATTCTTTATTTGAGTTTTACCTAAGCAACATTTTGTGACATATAGTGATTGTTTACAGTCAAAGGCTTAATAGAAAGACAAAGTTAGTCAAACTTGGCAAATTGCATATTTATTATAGTTCACTACAACAGGAAGTAATAAGTAAATTTTTTTTTTTCAGTCTACATTTTTACTATTACTTGAGTAAAATTATGTTGAAGGAAGAAGTGCTATTTTTACTTGAGTCCAATGTTTGGTTACTTTGCCCCATTGAGGATTATGTTGCGAAATTTGGGGTGTTAATTCCTGGAGGCACAATGTGGTGTGTCAAAGGTTGTTGCAGTTAATCTTTCTAACTCGGAAATATTCTCCTTAAGGAATATTTTCCAAATTTGGAAAACTGCATTTTTATTTTGTGCCTGTATTTTCGCTAATTTTATTGACAAACAAAATAAAAAACAGGATTAATTTGTGATCATATTCGTTAGTTTGATTGTGTTATATTATAAATCACATCATATTTTTCTTGCCTTCCTGTTGGCTTTTTCCCTGTTTTTTTTCCTAGCTTACAACAGGAAGTAAAAAAAAAGAAAGAGGAAGAACCGTTGGTGACGTCACCGCCGTGCCGTTTCGGAGGCACGTGACGCTGACTGGTCAGCTGATAAAAGTCGGCTGTTTGTCGACAACAAGCTCGAATTGCTCGGTCATTGTGGTTCTGCTGGTCCCGGTTCTGGCGCCATGAGGATCCTGGTCCTGTTCATGTTGGCGGCGTCAGCCTTGACGACCGACGCCCTGGTTCGGTAAGTTAAAAAAACAACAAACGTTTAATCCGTTTAGTCTGCCGGTTTAAAACGACCTTAAAGCCTATAAAGTTAAGCTAACCGCGTTAGCAGCAACTTACACAAGGTTAACCGTGTTGGCGCCGCATTGACGGCCACGCCGGTGGTTTTAATGTGGTTTGGAGAAGGTTTGTCTGCTAATATCAGGTCAGAGGTCACCTGACCTGATGGCTGCCTCAACAAGCCCAACTGATCTGCTGACATGAAGCCGTTAGCTGACACTTTGTCTCTCAGTTTCTACAAGAAAGTAGATTAAATGACTTTAGGCGGGGAGTCTGTTTCGGTTTATTTTACTGAATTTGGTTTTGCATTTACAATAGAGGGCGCATAGCGGAATTTATTTTCAATCTGGAGCCGCAAAACGCTTCAAGAAGGTGTCATCAGTCCATCCCCTGCGTCATTTCCGGTTGTCTAGGGACAGGTCACTGAGGTATCGGGTCCAAATGAGAATCTCCAACATCCCCTCATGGTACCATCCTGTAAAACCATCCAAGTCATAAGAGATCATATAATCTTTCCAGGAAATTCAGTGTCTGCATCTGTTTATTCCCAGCTGAACCTACTTAGCAATGGGTGTCTTGGCAAAATTTGCTAAAACGATTATGTTGGTACACAAGTTTTAATCTGAAAGAGCATTAACAGATCGTGTGTGCTGATTAAAAATGTGTTTCTGACTAATAATGAGAATAAACTGTGACTAGGGCCAAAGCCAGGCCTTTGGGGCTCTGGGCCCCACGGCCTGTTAAAACCAATAACAGCACAAATGTTGTTCAGGTTTGGTGTAATCTTTTATTGGCTAATCGTAAAATAATCAAGAATAATTGGTTATTTGACTAAACTGTAATTGCAAACCAGCTGAAGGTCAAACACAAAGAAAAGGTTAAACTTGTCTTAGATTGTAACTACAATCAAATTAAGTCAAGTTGAAATTATTAAATATTTTGATCTATGCTGAAAACAAATTAAGTTGCATGTTTCGATTCTCAAACACTTTTGTGCGTTCTCTTTATGGTAATAAAAGTGACCGACTTGTCTGCGTTGAAACAAAGGGCATTCAGTTGATGTTTTGCCAAACAATCGTTACAACAAAATTAAGATGCATTTCCATTTTTTGATTAATTTCAAATGCTCATAATCTTTTGTGTGTACATAGCTACTTCTAAATTATTCAAACCTATTTCTGCTCCTCTTACGATAAAGCAAAATTAGTCTTGTCAAACCAAAAGTTGCAACAACACAATAAAATTGACTAATTTAGCAAGTAGATATGGATTTCTCTGCATATTTATTAGCAGGAAGTCTCAAAACCACAAACTGCAGCAGCTACTAAAACTGTTTGCTTGAGGCGACTGCAGCCAGTGACTGAATGTAGCAGCAAGTCTCCACAGTCTCACTAATTCTAATTCAGAATCAATAACTTGTATACTTTGTTTCTGCTGGGGTTTACTTTTAGTTCTGTGCATCTTCGAAACCTTCTGCAGACCTTTTGGTGCAGCAAAGCAGCAGCTCTATTCTGGAAACAAAAAACCTTGCATTTCTAAACACTTCCTGTTCTAAGGTTTTTCCAAAATGTTTAAAACATGAACCCAAATATAAAATGTCTTCCTACTGAGCTCATGATGATTGCGTCATCTTTATTGTTTTAAGAGGCGACTGTAAAACTCAATACCTGACTAAGGTATTGAGTAAGGAAGATAGTTTCAGCTGACTGTTTTTAGGTGTGTAGTAACTGGGTCAGCTGTGAAAATGGGGACAAATGGCAGTCAGGTTATCACTTGTGGTTTTTCTGACACCATATTTAGTTTGTCAGTCAGGTTTGACTGTTTTTGTGACAAGTTTCAACCTGTAGCTTTAAAGGTGTGTGTGGTGGTTTTCAAAAGCTTCTCTAAGCAACTTTACAATAAAAATCTGTCAGAAGGTTGTCCAAAAGTTACAAAATATAACACTGGCTCCAAAAATGTTAATGAATTAAATCTCAGTCATTTTTGAGCACAAATCTGACCATTTCTGATCTCTGGAATAATTCAATCACATAAATTGATAAAGGTTCAATTCCATTTGCATGGTTTATTGTTTTTTTCTTTTTACCAAAAGCTGGATGACTAAGTCATCAGTGTGGAGAATTTGTATGAAATGTTTGGAGACTTTCATAATTTATTAATAATTATATAAAGTTGTTGCAATAGATAATTGTATCATTTATTGCAATGACGTCCCCAAGGGGGCAGCGCAGGTTGCACCATGGGGATAAAGTGGGAGGAAGTAGATCAGATCTTTGATTTTCTTGGGAATAAATGTTGCTGTCAGTTCAGCTTTTGCTTCATTGTGGAAACTGGAATAAAACGTAACTGTTTAAATGATCTAAATTAAACTTTTAAACTGTTTTTTGTTTTTTTTGTTCAGAATTCCCTTGAAGAAATTCCGTTCAATCCGACGCGAACTGACTGACTCGGGAAGACGAGCCGATGAGCTGCTGGCCGACAGACACTCCCTGAAGTACAACCTGGGCTTCCCGTCCAGTAATGGACCCACTCCAGAAATGCTGAAGAACTACCTGGATGTAAGCATGTCTGCTTCTCTACAGCTGCGGCCCGAAACGCCCTCAGCCGTTTTGTTCGAGTCGAGCTGCAGGGGGAAAGAACAATGGCTCAGTTGTTGTTGCAGAATTACGCAACGTTTCCAGAAAGGCAGATAAAGTGCTGAAACTCTGGGAAAGTGTGACGGCTTCTGATTCCATCAGCGGGTTTGTTTACTCTGAGGCTGCAGAACAATAGATGATCACAACTTTTAGATCAATGGTGTCCAAAGTGTGGCTCGGGGGCAGTTTGTGGACCCTGAAAGTATTTTGTTTGGCACCTGATCACAAGTCATGAGTGGTTTAAAAAAAATTGGCCCACAATATAAAAAAACAGTTGCGGCAAAAAATTTGCACTATATATATTTTATTTTAAGCTTCTGTTGAAGTTTTTTCCACTTATTAAAATATTCATAATGAAGCTTGGTTAGTATTTTATCACAAATTATGTTACAACTTCATACATTTTTAGCCTCAAGCTTGTTAAACTTTTTTTTTTTTATTAAATGATCTCCTAGAAGCTGTGTTTCGGGTGATTCTCCTGGAGAGAGAAACCTTTTATTTTCAGACTGAATTACATTTTCTGCTCTCTGGGGAACTTAAGCAGAAGTGAAAACTAATCGCACAATAAATCCGAATCCACTTCTCCATTTTACGTTTGAGAAACTGAGCATGACTCGACAGAAACGCAGCGTTTGGTCACATGAAGCAGCAATCTGGTGGCGGTCATGAGTAATCGTTTCCTTTCTGCAGTTTTCTCTTCCTGTTGTAACGGTTGACCCGCGTCGTCCGCTGCTTATGATTATGGGTCAAACTGGCTGGTTAATGTTTAGCCTGCTCCGTTGGTCCTTGAATGACCTTGTTTTCCCTGACCAGGCTCAGTATTACGGGGAGATCAGCCTGGGCACGCCCCCCCAGCTGTTCACGGTGGTGTTTGACACCGGCTCGTCCAACCTGTGGGTCCCCTCCGTTCACTGCTCCCTGCTGGACATCGCCTGCCGTGAGTCCGTCTCCTCTGACGCCAGACCGGAACCAACCGGGAATTTAACCCTCTGTTTTCCTTTCAGTGCTTCACCACAAATATAACTCAGCTAAATCCAGCATATGTGAAGAACGGCACCGCCTTCGCCATCCAGTATGGATCGGGCAGTTTGTCCGGATACCTCAGCCAGGATACGTGCGCCGTAAGCTCCGCCCACAGCAGATCGGACCAGAGTATCAGGACCACGCTACAAAACTAAAATATGAGAATGCACTTATGTGAGAGTAAAGTTGTCCCATTTTGTAAATCTCGACTTCTTGTGAAACCACTACTTCTCATATTTTGGCTTTATTCTCGTAATGAATCATATTTTCCTAGCGTGGCCCCGTTACTCGGCCGTAGATCAGAGTCGAGTTATTGCCGTGTGAAACCCGCTGACCTGGCTCTCCCCTCAGATCGGCGACATCACCGTGGAGAAGCAGCTGTTCGGTGAAGCCATCAAGCAGCCCGGCATCGCCTTCATCGCAGCCAAGTTCGACGGGATCCTGGGCATGGCGTATCCCCGGATCTCTGTGGATGACGTGGTTCCTGTGTTCGATAACATCATGAACCAGAAGAAGGTGGAGCAGAACGTCTTCTCCTTCTACCTGAACAGGTGAGACGGATGTTTTTCTTCACAGGAGTCAAACATTCTGCTGTGCAAATGAAGGATGAGGCTCCGTTTGGTTTGCTAGCTGGTCAGAAATGTGAAGTACAGACTTGGTTGGAGATCGATCTTTTCAGAGTCTTTTATTAAACTGTCATGGTGACAATTTCAATAAATATGGAAAAAGACAAAACATTTTTGTGTTTGTTACAAAACTGAAAAAACAAAGATTTGCATCTCTAGTAATGCTCCAATGTAAAAGGTTTCTGTTATCCTGTGAAATGCAGTTTCTGTAAACAGACCGTTGCAGGTTTTTTTTTTAATCTTGCAAATGAAATTTAGCTAATGATGACTCATCTATATGCATTTTTTTATTTTAATATAAAAGCAGTTTTATACTTTTTACAATGTTCAGCTTCTTAATCATAATTATTGCTGCTGTTTTAAGGTTTGCAAGAGTTTAACTCTACTGAAGAATCATTATCAGTCCTGATAAAACGGACGTTCTCCTGTATAGAAAAGTTGTTTAAATGACTAATTTTGGTGAAGTAATGTATTATTTGTTCTGCTCAGGAACCCGGACACAGAGCCGGGAGGCGAGCTGCTGCTGGGAGGAACCGACCCAAAATATTACAGCGGAGATTTCCACTACGTCAACATCAGCCGACAGGCCTACTGGCAGGTCCACATGGACGGGTAAGAGACGCACAAACCTGCACAGCAGCCCAAAGTTGAACTAAATCAGTTTCGCTTACGCTTCATTTAAGATGACCACATCAAAGGTGGATCCCTTTAAGAGAGTTATTATTAATCACCAAAAACTGAAAGCCAGAAAACCTTCTAACTGAAATCAAACTGATTAATGGGGAAAAAACTATAAATGGAACTAATGCATTTATGAGACTAAAGCATTGTAAAAATTACAGGAATAATACCTTTATTTGTTTACCAAATGCAACAAATATTTGAATATTTTATGCACTTTATTTACTCGGATGAGGAAAGTTAAGTTTTGTTTTTCATTTTCTGTTGTGCTCCAGGATGACGATCGGCAGCCAGCTGAGTTTGTGTAAAGGCTGTGAAGCCATCGTGGACACCGGGACGTCTCTGATCACCGGCCCGGCCGCCGAGGTCAAAGCTCTGCAGAAAGCCATCGGCGCTCTGCCGCTCATCCAGGGAGAGGTGAGGAAACGCTGCGGCTTTGGCCTTTCACATTTTGTCGTGTTAAAAGTTTCAGTGAATATTGAGCAGAATGGAGACGTGTTAGAAGGATAATTCTTCACTTTCGTGTCTGTAAAACACTTCAAGCCTCAGAACTTCAGAAGATGCTCTTTCCACAGGCTCTGTTATTTCAGGTTTGGATTTAAACCAATGGTGTCCAATATTTTTATCTTTTTCTGTACTAGAGGCTAAAAGTGGCAAATTTAAACCACTGGCAGGCCACAAAACTCATTAAATAAAAATTCAAAAGTTTGTGAAAAAATAATTTTATCTTCTGACCTATAAACATTTTTATTTTAATGTCTTTCAGTACATGGTGCCCTGTGAAAAGGTCCCAACGCTGCCAGTCATCACCTTCAACATCGGCGGACAGACCTACAGTCTGACTGGAGACCAGTACATCATGAAGGTGAGGAACCAGCAGGGGGCGACGGCACCGAACAAACACACTGACTCTGAATTATTAAAAGCAGAACAAGTGCAGCTCTGAAGCGGATGAGGCAGGTGTGTTTGGAGAGGAGGACATTAAAGGGGACTTATTATGCAAAAGTCACATTTACACAACTTTTGTGCTTCCATGTTTGTCTCTCCTGCTTCTACAAAAGCCCAAATGCTTTAAAAAACATTTTTAAAATGATTCATTCTGGAAGGATAACCTAATTAAAATATCATCTTAAAATGAGTTTGCACAGAAAATGAAATGAGCAGGTTTTGTCTGGATCCCTGCGAACGCGTTCAGGGAAGCATAATGGGAAACATTTTGTCCTCCGTCCTGCAGGAGAGTCAGGCCGGGGGAAGACGATCTGCCTGAGCGGCTTCATGGCGTTGGACACCCTCCCCCGCCGGGCCGCTCTGGATCCTGGGAGACGTTTTCATCGGCCAGTACTACACCGTGTTCGACCGCCAGAACAACCGGGTCGGCTTCGCCAAGTCCAAGTAAAAAGACGCATCCTGCACCTGGAATGCAAGCTAACGCAACGCTCCGGATCTGAGCTGCTTGTTTCCTGTTTCTGTGATCAAAATGTACCTAACCATAGACTTTAGAGCAAAGATGCACTGATGAGGAGTCTGGACCGGTTCTGATGGAGCGTGAAGCAGAACCTGGATGTGACGAGTTGTGCTATGGTACCGATTCTGCTTTTTGAGACATCCAAGTAATTTTCTTTTCCGTCTTAATCAGGGACTTGTTTTAAAATGTATTAATTGGCGTTTGAAGTGGAAGGTGGTTTTACTACTGATGTTTTTGTCAAAGTGATTGGGCTCAATAAATTTTTTTTAAAAGAACGTCTTGTGTTCTGGTTCTGTTCAGCTGTTTCAATAACCTGGTATTTGTTCAGAGCCATTTCTCCCACAGTGCTGTCGTCCACTTCCTGCTTTTGGAGCGATCTCTGGTCCGCTTGGCGTTCACATATGCATTCGAACCAAACCAGAGTTCTTTGGCCAAACGGGCCGAACTGGGTCCTCCCCTAACTCTTCTGAATCCTTTCTGGGGATTTGATTTGTATATTTTTCCTACTGATGGTGCCAGTGTGGAATCAGTTTCAGTTTCTCTGCACATTTGTTTCTAATTTTTCTTTTGAGTCCAAACCATTCCAATATTTGCTTTTAAACTGAGAAAAAAGCATCAAATCATTTGTTCAGTGAATTAGGAATTTATTTTTCTGCTGCCTTAAAAAATGACACCAATTTAACACGCAACCATTTTAGACTGTTAAATGTTTAGTGGAGTGTTTTTTTTTTTTTTGTTTTTGTTTTGCATTTGCGCTGCCATAAATAAATCCTTCAGCTCCTTCCGTTTTGTTTTTATTATAAAAATTGTCTCCCAACACTGTGAGGAAACGGGCGTCCCAGGTTCCCTTTTCCTCGCTAACGAGTTTCTGGTCCGGTCGGTGATGCCGCGTTTCCGGACCTGCGGATAAAAACTGCTCCGATCAGTGGGTTCCTGTTTGGAAGCAGCTCTGGGAATCCTGGGAACGCCGTCCTGGAACTGCTGGACCAGAGTCTGAACCGTATCACAAAACCAGCAACGTTCAGCCCAGTCTGACCTCTGACCTCAGCGCTCCTCCTCCTGCTCCTTCTCCGAGCCGTCTCCCGGATCCGGCTCGTCGCTCTGCTTCTCCAGCTCCGGGTCTCTGAGCGGGGCGGCGGGGTCTCTCACCACCCCCTCCATCTCCACCTCCAGCTGCTCCTCCGTCTCCTCCTCCACCCGGCCCACCGAGTCGGGGATGATCTCCACTTCGATGTCCGAGGAATCCTCGCTCTCCTTGAACCACACCGTCTTCTGCCCCTCCTTGCGGCGCTGCTTGGACAGGATGGACCTCATCCCGTACTCGTCGCCGTCGCTCCTGCTCCTCCGCACCGACGGGCTCCCCTTGGAGATGTGGTTGGCGTAGACGCCGCAGGTGGAGCAGTGGCGGCTCCGCCTCTCGAGCGGCAGGATGCGGCTCCGGGGCTGGGGAAGGTGCTGCGCCGGGGAACCACGTTGCTCCAGCGTTTGCCTCGGCTCGGGTCGGCTTCGTTCTGGAATCCGTCGTTGGTGAACTGGAGGGAGTCTCTGTGGCCGGACCGGGGCCGGTCGGACCGCAGGCAGGGGCCCAGGCACTGCAGGGGTCAACACAGGGGTCAACACAGGGGCCCAAGTTAACCTCTCCACAATGTTGGCAAAAATAAATTAAACTTTTTAATGCAACATTTTAAAAACCTTCAAATTGTACAGCAGTGTATTGGGACCATAGTAAGAAAAAACAAAAACAATTTGTATGAGAATTTAGTCAATAAGAGGATAAAGTCATATTTTGAGTTCATATGACAAGAATGGTAAAAATTATAAAAAATGTTTTCCCCAGGATTTAGGTCCAGAGACCAGTATAGTAACTTTGTTTTATTGTCTATTCTGCAAAAGTTTTATATTTTGCTTTGAGTTTTAGTTGGAGAACAGAAAAAAGGCAACAAAAGTCCAAAGAAACATTTTAGAAGATTTTTCAAGGTTCTTCTGTCTCCTGGATTTTGCAAACTGACCTCACAAATTTTCTCGAGACTCGTGTTTTCCTTCCACAGGCGGGAAATCAGGAAGCCAATCACGATGAGGGAGAGAACCAGGAGAGCTGCCATGATGAGTCCGAGCAGCGCCATGTCGCCGGGCCGATAGCCAACGTTCGACGGAGACGGGACGGCCACGGCTGCAGACAAACACAGGCGAGGGCTGAGCCAGTCATTCCAGACTAAACTAGAGATGAACTTTGAACTTTCTGTTACCAGGTATGACTTGAACGGAGAGCGCTGCAGTCCCAAACTCTCCTGTGACAGAATCCACGGCTCTGAGCTGCAGACACAACATTGACAGTCAACAAAATGAGCAAAGAGCCTCCGGCAGCAACAAGCTGGTCAGAACCACGGCGGATTGGCAGCATTACGGAGCAAGCAGCAAAAAATCTCAGAAATTCTCTGGAAAATCTCAGAAATTCTCTAGAAAAAAAAGTATAACCTTTTGAGTTTGAAAGTTGAAAAATTGCTGGAAAAACAGAAATTTTCTAGAGAAAACTCATTTCTGAGTTGGAAAAGTGGTAAAATTACGAGAAAAACATTAATAAACTCAAATTTTGAGTGGTCTCAACTTTTCTAGAAAAAACTCTGACATTTCTCAGATTGAAAAGTTGCAAATGTGCCAGAAAAAATCAGAAATGTTGTAGAAAAAATACATTAATATTTCTGAGTCAGAAAAATTTGCTTTTAGAAACTGAAATTTTCTAAAAATAAAAATGGAAATTTCTGAGATTCAGCATTCTCAGAAATTTCCAAATTTTTCCAAAATGTGAGAAAATTTTTTCAAAATGTGAGTTTTTCTTTTTCTTTTGTTTTTTTACTTTTCCAATTCAAAAATACTTTTTCTGCAAACCTTCTGAGATTAATCAAAAGATTTCTGAGTGTTTTGGCAGGAATGTACTGCTGTACATTGGCCCTTTGAGCTGCTGTGGATCCATGGGTCACCTGAAGGGCAAAAGACTCCGTCTTCACCACTCTCTTCAGGATCACGAAGCCGTCGGGAGTCACGTTGACGTAGCTGCTGCTGTACTGAACCTCATACTTCATGTCGGGGTTTAGACCCTGACCCCAAAAACACCAAACAAAGACGTTAATTATCCTCAGAACATCAGGATTTAACCAGACTGTACTGTAAATCCAGAAGGATCTCCTGTAGCAGTCTGTTTCACAGTGGTTTTGAAAAAGCCTCTGATAGGAGCCACTATACACTGCACTGTGTATCACTCTCTTCTGTATCACTTTTTTTAAAGCAGACTTTACTGAGCGTCACTTACACTTGCGAAGTCTTCGTCGCGGGCTCGGACCCTGAAGGGTCTGTTGGTGGTCCGGTCTCGGAGTATCATGCTCTCTGGGATGGAGTTGCTGTAGATAAATCCCTCGAATCGCTCTTTCTCAAAGCGCGGAGGATTCCTGCTCTTCTTCATCACCTCTATGGTCACCTGAGTCACTGCAAACTGATCCCTGTTGTTCACCTGCGAAGCCTGAAACGGAGGAAAACATGTCCAGAATCAGAGCTTCCCATTGTCGGATGTTTTTTAAATGATCCCCAGAAAAATGTTTATTCCCCCCCCCCAGTTTTACCAGGATTGACAGAATAATTGGGCCAACAATATCTGCAGCTTTGGTCATTGTAATGTTCCCCGTGTCTTCATCAATTTGGAATATATTCCCTTCATTTCCTGGTGATGAAAGAAAACATAAATCACTAGAAAAATCTAAAACTTCCCTAAAAAACTCAAATACAGAAAAACTAATAAAACCTATGACTGTTTTTTTACATACCAAAAAATAATTGTACACACGTATTTATGGAAATATTGAGAAAAATAAACAAAGATTTTGGCTAGTAGCTTCTAAGCTAATGAGCTAAAGCTAATTGTTAAACTCTGGATTATTTTTAAATCTTTGAAACATTAGAGTATTTAAAAAAACAAGTTTATTGTTTTTCTTTAAGTAATGAACTAATAACTTTTGTAATATTTAATGAGCTGACTTAAATTGTTTTCAATCTGGAGAAAAAGCAAATACCAGTTAGCTTAGCATGACTAGTTAGCACCAGCTGCCATGTTTTTAGCTTCTTAATTTGTTTTATTTTGTTGTTCTAAATCTAATTCCTGAATGAAACATTTATGTAAAGATATTTTACTGAAATTCTGTTTATTTACTCATCTGGATAGTTTAGGTTGGCTCAATGTTAACTTAGGTTATTAATTTTAATTTATTTATTAACATCATTTAGGTAAAAATATAACCCCATTAAATATTTTTTCCAGTTTGATCATTTAAATAGATGAGAGAAGATGTCAAAATGTTTATTATTATATTCAGTAAATGTTTCCAAAACAGGGAAAAAAGAAAAATGTTGACATATTTTACTTACAATTCAGTGAGATACCATGATATTCTTATGTATCTATTATGTATAAAAAATAATTATATTTGTATGTTTTTACCCTGTTAATTCTTCTCAATGAATCCATATTTTTAGGGAATAATAATAAATTAGACATTTTCTTTATAAAGTTATTGAGTATCAAGTCAGAAGATGAGACCTGAAAAAATCAAAAGTGATTCTCTGGGTGTCTGACCTCGGAGTATCCTGTAGCTGATCGGCTCGCTGCGGTTCCGGTCTCCGTCTCTGGCGAAAACCGGTCCGGGCTCCAGAACCAACGGGCCTTCCTGCGTTTCAAACCAGTCTGCTTTCATTTACCATCTCAGCATTCAACTAAATCACCGTTCACATTCTGGACCCTCATCAAATATTGTCAGTATAATCATATTTGTTCACATATCATGTAGAAAGTT